CTGGCTCCATCCCCGCCTCTTCGACCTGTTTGTTTCCTCTCCTCTATCCCTCTTCTATCCGCCTCCCACTCTCTCCCTATTTATTTCAAAACCCCCTTCCCCTCCCCCTTTTCTGATGAAGGGTCTAGTCAGCCTCTCTGCTCCTATGATGCTGCTTGGCCTGCCGTGTTCATCCAGCCCTGCACCTTGATGTCTCCTTTCAATAGGTGTCAGATTTCTTAAAAGTTTTAAACTGCCTTCCTTCTTAGTGACCAACTGTCTTAGGCATCCAGCTTCAGCCAAGACTTCTGCAAGCCGGAACTGTTAAAGGTTTTTTTTTTAGCTAGAGATAGCAAGAGCTGCAGATGCTGGAGTCAGAGATAACGAAGTGTGGAGCTGGAGGAACCCAGCAGGCCAGGCAGCATCAAAGGAGTGGGAAAGTTGACGTTTCGGGTCGGGACTCTTCTTCAGAAAAAAGTACCTGACCTGAAACGTCAACTTTCTTCTGGGCCAAAAAAAGAGTGCAGAACATTCTAACTGATACCTAGGGCATGACTATTTATTCGCTCATAATATTCACCAAATGAAAACAAAACCTCCTTTCTCTCCAGGAAGTGTGTCTTGTACTGTGTTTCAAAATAAACTTCCATAGATATAGAAGTACTTACAAGTTAATCTCTCTCACATTCTCTTTTTTCTTTCTCTCTCCCTTTTTCTTTCTCTCTCCCTTTTTCTCTCTCTCTCTCTTCTTTCTCTTTCTGTCTCTCTCTCTCTCTCTCTCTTTTCTCTTTCTGTCTTTTTTCTCTCTCTCACGCGCTCACTCTCACGTGCGTTGCTAAGTCAAAGTTCAAAAATCTCAAATATTTATATATAAATCACAACATCACAGCTACAAGTAAAGTACTGTAAATACTATATTATTTTACCTAAGGTCTTGGCCCTTTGCAAACCTGCTGTGTGGAAATATATTTATATAAACCAGAAGGTTAAGTTGGGAAACATGGATTTAAACCAATGCAGTGTATTGAAGTTGTTGTGTTACTGCTACTGTTGTATCCTTTTCAAACTGAGATTGTTCAGCTCATTTATTCATTTATTACAAATAAAAGATATGGAGGGACAACTGTCTCTTGTTAGTGTTGCTGGTTGAGATTTCTCATTTTCTGCAAAGAGAAGAGACTAGTTTCTCCATTGCCATTTTTCTGGTGGTTGACCTGAATCTGTTACACAAATGTGAACTCTTGTCCATCTAATTCTATTTTTCTTAATTTACACAGGCTTGAACTGTAATAAATTCCAGTATTGTTAAGAGTAGATATAGAAAGGAATTCACTTTAGTTAAATTTGTTTTGGCTGTCCTTTTTCTGCCTTCCAATTGGATTTTGTGCCAAATTTCAATGCTTCATTTGTTGTGTACAATCATTCCTTTCTAACTTGAAGATACTGTTCTATGATCTTGAGCCCAAGTTAAATGCAAAACTTTCTATTTTGTATGGATAGCACTAAAATATTGTTCCCCTGAATTTGTGGTAACACACTTGATATTTTACCTTGGCCTTTACAAATGATTAGACATGTGTCACACTGAGGTTCGAGATAAGTTTAAGGAGGTGTTTTCTTTCTGCTGCCTCCCATCCATATTTGGAGAGGTGGTGGGGGGAGGCAACACATATTTCTCTCACATATTTATTCTAGATCAGAAAACATTCTCATGTATAACTTCAGGGAAATCCATTCTGTCCTCCGGGGCCACTCTAAACTGTGAACTTTATTATGGAGATTGAACAGCTTCATTCGTAAGAATTGGAGCCCTACTTTGATTAACTGAGAGTTGTAACCCAAGAAAACACGTTGATTTTGTGCTGCTGAGTTTAAACCTATTTAGAATCAGTACCTGGTATGCAGTTCCACTGAGGCTGAACCTTTCTATCAAGTTTTTGGTATATTTGCCTCCTTTGTCAAGCCTGTATATAATTGTATGTGTATGTGTATGTGTATGTGTGTTTGTAGCTAATGAGCAATATTGTGCATTTGGGTAGAATTGCACTCTTATTATGATGAGGAATGTAGTGGCCAAAGTGTCTAGAAAATGTTCAGTTCAAAAGTGAGCCATGTATTAGTTTCATTTTTGTGAGCTTTTTGTAAATGGTTGTACTTGTGCATTGGATATCTATCTGATTTATCCTGTGTGCACCTCCACTTGCCAGCTGCAAATACCACCAGCATTATTATTAAAACAGTGCAAAGGCTCACTCAGAAATAGATTTCTGATACTTGAAAGTTTTCAAAGGCTGCTTACTGCTGAACAAGTCTACTTGATACATTCCTCTTCAGTCTAAAAGTTGACTTAGATTCAGAATTAATAAGCCAGAATATAAAATACTGTGATCCTCAACTATCTAATTAGGTGCTTTATTTTGGTAAAAAGCATGCAAGTATTTTATTTTCATAGAATCGTAGAATCCCTACAGTGCAGAAACAAGTCCACACCAACCCTTGGAGTATCCCACCCAGACTCATCCCCTATAACCCACCTGAGCCAAACATCCCTGAACACTACGGGCAATTTAGCATGGCCAATCCATCTATGATGCACATCTTTGGACTGTGGGAGGAAACTGGAGCACCCAGAGGAAACCCACGCAGACACGGGCAGAATGTGCAAACTCCACACAGTCGCCCAAGATCGAACCTGGATCCCTGGCGCTGTGAGGCAGCAGTGCTGACCACTGAGCCACTGTACCGCCCCAATTTCCTCTGATTAGCATAATGATGTCACTTCTAATCCAATTTATCCTGGACTAAATGTATCTTCAATCTATGTTGGGAACAGTAATAACCAATTTACATTCTGTTTTTGAATTATGAGTACATTTCTGCAGACTGATTAGGTTATCGGAAGTATAGTTTATTCATCATCATAGATTGGAGTTTATGTATGTGTCCAATATTTTGTCCTGTTAGTTGAATAAAAGGAGAAAACATAATTCATTATTGCTGTGCACAGTTGACCGTTTTCATTACAGAGGGTTTTTCCCTTTCAGGTAAACCTCTGCAGTTCACACCTATTGTTGAGACGTGCTGTGATTGCATGCCTACGTCAGCTTGCACAGAGGGAAGCTGCTGAGGTGTTGGAACATGCTAGGGCTCTTGCCAAGGAATCCAGTAAGCTGAGTAAGATCTTTGATATAGAGCTATAGAAGTTGTGATTTTGTAATGCAGTGAGTCTCATCAAAAACATGTTATGAAAGCATTAGTTTTTAAGCAGCTTGCACTTGCTATAGTATACCTTTTTATAGTACTAAAAAGTAAGAACTCTTCTCATAGAACTAAAAACAATTCCATACTGAGTGGAGAGTGATGAAAGTGTTAGGTGTGGTTACTTAAGGTGGGATCAAAGAGTCTTTTCATATTCACTGAAAGAATGTAGCGTCGCTGACTTGGCCAGTATTTGTTGCCCATCCCTACTTTCCCTTGAAAAGGTGGTAGTGAACTTGCTGGTGGCAGTGTTCTCATGTTTCTGCCGTCCTTGTCCTTTTAGATGGTAGCAGTCATGGTTTCGGAGGTGCTGTATAAAGGGCTTTGAATTTCTGCAGTGCATCTTGTGGATGGTGAACACTGCTGCCACGGACCATTGATGTTGACCGGACTGAATGTGTGTGGATGTGGTGCTAAGGAAGTGAGCTACTTTGTCCTGGATGTCAAGCTCCTTGAGTTATAGATTTATAGAAGTCTACAGCACAGTGTTCACATTGGTCAAAAACGACCACCTAAGCATCTAAATCCCATATTCCAGCTCTTGGCTGGTGTTGTTGGAGTGTTATTGGAGCTGCACTCATTCAGCCAAGCATTCCATCGCATTCCTGATTTGTGTCTTGTCTATAGTGGGCAGACTTTGGGGAGTCAGGAGAAGGGTTATTTGCTGCAAGATTCCTAGCCTCTGACCTGCTCTTGTTGTTGCAGTACTTGTATGACTCGTCCAGTTCCGTTTCAGGTCAGTTGTGGTCCCCAGAATGTCGATAGTGGGAGATTCAATGATGGCAATACCAGTGAATATTGTGGAGTGATGGTTAGATTCTTTCTTGTTGGAAATAGTCATTGCCTGGTACTTGAATGGCATAAATGTTACTTGTCCCTTGTCAGCGCAAGCCTGAATATTATGCAGATCTTGTTGCATTTGGGCATGGACCACTTCAGTGTCTGAGGAGTTGTGAATGGCACTGTACAATGTGCAGCCATCAGCAAACATCACCACTTCGAACCTTTTATGATCGAGGATAGATCATTGATGAAGCAACTGAAGGGCCCAGGAACTCCCCTGAGGAACAACTACTGTGATGCCCTGGAGCTGAGATGACTCTCCTCCAACCACCGCACATCTTCCTTTGTGCCAAGTATGACTGTATCCAGTGGAGAGTTTCCCCCTGATTCCCATTGATTTCACGAGTTTTTTGACACCACACTCGCTCAAATGTATGCTTGTGCCAAGGGTAGTCACTCTCACCTGAACCTCCTGAAATTCAGCTCGTTTGTGCATGTTTCGGTCAAGGCTGTAATGAGGTTAGGAGCAGAATGGCCCTGGCAGAATCTGCACTCTGCATTGGTGAGCAGGTTATTGTTGTGCAAGTGCTATTTGATAGCCCAGGTGATGACACCTTCCATCACTTTACTGATGATTTACAGTAGACTAATGGAATGATAATTGATTGGCTTGAATTTGGCCTGCTTTTTGTGTACAGGGCACATCTGGGAAATTTTGGTCGAGGAGATGATAGCGTTATAGTGTTTCAGGAATTGCTTAGCTATGGACTCGGCAAGTTCTGGAGTACAAGTCTTCTGTCCCATTGCCAGAATGTTTTCAGGGCAGATAGCCTTTGCAGTATCCAATGCATCCAACTTTTTCTTGGTGTCACATGGTTAAACTGAATTGCTGAAAACTGCATCTATGATGCTGGGCCCTCTGGAGAACGCCAAGATAGATCACCCACTCGGCATAGTGGATGAAGGTCTGGAAGAGATTTTTAAAAAGTAGCAAAGCTTTTACAGTATAATACACCCATTAAAGCCAGTGACATTGGATTCTGCTAAACAGAGAAAATCAATATTTTGTCCCTTTTTTCCCCCAAATCTAGTTTCCTTGCTGTATTGCACGAGTCAAAGTAAATACTGTCCTACTATTACAATTAGTTTCTTGAGCGATAATAATTGTTGCCCAAAGCTATGGCTGTAATTTATTACAAGAACTGGTGATGTTTGTACAATTATCTCTTGTGTACTACGAGTGAATTTTTATTGTTGCATAAACCTGAAGATTGTGCTTTAAAGAAGTGGCTTCCACTTTTGTATTCAAGAAAGCAAGTTGAAAGATACACCTCAAGCAGTAAATTGCTGAGTTAAACCTGGCATGCATGCACCACCAAACCATCTATCACAATTTTAGTTGGTGCCTATTTATGGGGCCACCAATGAGACCGTAGTTATTGTCCAATTAAGCACAATTACTATCCACTGATTGGACTGTACTGGATGTTTCGAAGACTTCTGCTTTATTTTTGCAATAGTATGTTCAGGAGCTTAGGTTGCCAACTACAAGAAAGCTGAAGGAGCCATTCTGCCCGTTGTAACTGTTATTGGCAACGTTCTGCAGAAGCTGCGGTTTTAGTGTTGTGGTCTTTGCTATGCCATGACAGCCGATAGAAAACAATGTACTCTGTTTAATAACCCATCATGATATATAACTTATTTCAAAAACTATTAAAACTAGTTGATTGTAATGACCTGTTATGTTTCAGAAATGTGTTATTTATTTATATTTAGCCAAAGTGTCAGGGAGGACTTCACAGATCAACTTATTTTCTTGTAAAGCTAAATAAGGTAACCTAAGTACAAAAATTGAAGTCTTGACGTCTTGGCTGTTTAACAGAAAACATGACTGTGGACAAGAATGCTGACCATGTCTTTATTTTCAGGTGTTAATATAAGTGAAACTGGCCTAGAAGGAGCACTTTTCAGTTTACTCGACAGAGAATCAGATCAACGACTTTGTCGTGATATTCAGGAAACTCTAAGCTATATCCTATCATCCATGGCTGTTGAAAACCTTTCTCATTGGATAAAATTATGCAATGAGGTTTTATCTGCCTCAGCTGGTGAGTTCAGAATCTTTGATATGGAAAATATGTAAGTCTCCTGCCAAACACGGGAAATTAGGCTTGTTGCAGTCTAATGTGGAAGTTTATTCTTTAGTATCTTTACTGTTTCTTGAATTCCACCTGTTGAGGATTATTTCTGTCTCAATGAACAAATAGGTAACATCTTGCCCAAATAATTCTCTAGCCAACCTGTTGAGAGTGAATTTAGCATTAGATTTGCATATCTCAATATAAAGCTTATTTATTTCACCTCGGCAGCTTTGCAATGCGTGACTAACATAGTTTAGAATGTTCTAATGAGTTAACAAGTTTTAACAAGTTTTAAATTGAACCAGAATTCTGGGATGGGAGAGACCTTCCAAATTTTCCCTCCTTGGGCAGAAGTGTAACTGTCATGGCATGCTGAGTTTAAAAACTCAATTTGTGAATTATTAGTGCACATGTGGCGGGCGGCACGGTGGCTCAGTGGTTAGCACTGCTGCCACATAGCGCCAGGGACCCGGGTTCAGTTCCACCCTCTGGTGGCTGTCTGTGTGCAGTTTGCACATTCTCCCCGTGTCTGCGTGGGTTTCCTCTGAGTGCTCCAGTTTCCTCCCACAGTCCAAAGATGTGCAGGTAAGGTGGATTGGCTAAGCTAAATTGCCTGTAGTGTTCAGGGGTCTGTAGATTAGGTAGATTATAGGGGGATGGGTCTGGGTGGGATTCTCCAAGGGTCAGTGTGGACTTGTTGGGCCGAAGGGCCTGTTTCCACACTGTAGGGATTCTGTGATTCTATGTGGATATCACCACTTCAGTGCAACAGTTAGATGTGACTCCCTTTACAATCTGATTGGAATTTTGAGTAAATATTTACATATATTTTTGCATTATTTGCAATTCCTTATTTTCATAAGTTTTTAAACTTATCAAATAATCTTTTTTGAAAAAATGTGTCAATTTTTGTGGTCCAGATTTCACCACCACAGCACCAGTTGACACAACTCAGGAAGAGGAGGAGGATAGAGGAGATGATAATTCAATATTTACCTCCAGAAGAGATGACCAATTCCAATCAGTCATCAAACCACGCTGGCCTACAAGGGTATTTGCAGCAGAATGTGTGTGTCGAATTATTACACAGTGCGAGAATGTAGATTCTGCTCATTTTGATATGACAATGGCTCAGGAAAGGAAAGTGAAGCACCCAAAAAGTAAGTGGTTACAAAGGAACCTGAAAAGTTAACTTCTCTCAGGGAAAGGGTGTTGGCTGGGAGAGGAGAGATGTAGCTTGTTCAGCTGTTTGTTGAACCTATGCTCAATTTAAGAGTACAATTACCAAAATGTGAAACTGATGTGGTTCACTTTATAGGATTTGTTAGTGCTTTATATTTAAATATATCATGCATACAAATTTTAATATACTATTCGCAGGTGATTTCTTAGTGAGCCATCTTGCAGACTTGATTCGCATGGCTTTCATAGCTGCCACAGATCACAGTAACGCTCTCCGGCTATCTGGCCTTGAAACACTACATGTCATCATCAGGAAATTTGCAAATGTCCCTGAGCCAGAGTTCCCTGGCCATGTAATCCTTGAACAATACCAAGCAAATGTAAGTGACAAAAAATATATATGGTATCTTTTAAGTCAATGATGCTTTACAGCTAATGGATTATTTTGAAGTAAGATCATAACACCCAGCATGGGTTCGTGAAGGGTAGGTCATGTTTAACTGATTTGGTGGAATTCTTTGAGGACATTACTTGCATGGTGGACAATGGGGAACCTGTGGATGTGGTGTATCTGGATTTCCAGAAGGCATTTGACAAGGTGCCACACCAAAGGCTGCTACATAAGATAAAGTTCCACGGTATTACAGGTAATGTACTGGCATAGATAGAGGATTGGTTGACCAGTAGAAAGCAAAGAGTAGAGGTAAATGGGTGTTTTTCTGGTTGGCAGTCAGTGGCTAGTGGTGTGCCTCAGGGATCAGTGTTGGGACCGCAATTGTTTACAATTTGCATAGATGATTTGGAGTTGGGGACTAAGTGTAGTGTGTCAAAATTTGCAGATGACACTAAGCTGAGTGGTAGAGCAAAGTGTGCAGAAGACACTCTGCAGAGGGATATAGATAGTCTAAGTGAGTGGGCAAAGGTCTGGCAGATGGAGTACAATGTTGATAAGTGTGAGGTCATCCATTTTGGTAGGAATAACAGAAAAATGGACTATGTTTTAAATGGTAAAAAATTGCAGCACGCTGCTGTGCAGAGGGACTTGGGTGTCCTTGTGCATGAATCGCTAAAAGTAGGATTGCAGGTGCAGCAGGTAATTAAAAAGGCAAATGGAATTTTGTCTGCCATTGCTCGAGGGATGGAGTTTAAAAACAGGGAGGCTACGCTGCAGCTGTATAGGGTCCTGGTGAGGCCACACCTGGAGTATTGTGTGCAGTTTTGGTCTCCTTACTTGAGAAGAGATGTACTAGCACTGGAGGGGGTGCAGAGGAGATTCGCACGGTTGATTCCAGAGTTGAGAGGGTTGGATTATGAAGAGAGACTGAGTAGACTGGGATTATACTCATTGGAATTCAGAAGAATGAGGGGAGATCTTATAGAAACATATAAGATTATGAAGGGAAGAGATAAGGTGGAGGCAGGGAGGTTGTTTCTGCCAGCAGGTGAAACTAGGACTAGAGGGCATCGCCTCAAAATAAAGGGAAGCAGATGTAGGACTGAGGTCAGGAGGAACTTCTTCACCCAAAGGGTTGTGAATCTGTGGAATTCCCTGCCCAGTGAAGCGGTTGAAGCTACCTCGCTGAATGTTTTTAAGGCAAAGCTAGATAAATTTTTGAACAGTAAAGGAATTAAGGGTTATGGTGAGTGGGCGGGTAAGTGGAGCTGAGTCTCAAAAAGATCAGCCATGATCTTATTAAATGGCGGGGCAGGCTCGAGGGGCCAGATGGCCTACTCCTGCTCCTAGTTCTTATGTTCTTATAGTTTTGAAGACAAACAGAATTAGTTTGCATAGTTAAGTCCTATGTGCGACAGCTGAGTAAACGAAGAAAATAATTTGGACTCTTGCAATGATTTCATATTTTGTAAGTTAAATCTATTCTTGTTTAATCAGTTATTAGTTTTGAAGGGATGGACTAGTAATCCAGAAGCCCAGGCCCTGAAGGCATGGGATAAGATTCTACCAGGGTAACAAGTGAAATTTGAATTAAATTAATAAATCTGGAATTGAAAGATAATCTCTAAATTAGTAACTGTAAAACCATTATCGATTATCATAAAATCCCGTCTAGTTCATGAATGTTGTTCGGGAAAGTTGACCTTTCCAAATCTGATCTATATGTGATTCCAGACCCATGACAACGTACTTGATTCTTAACTGCCTATCAAGCTACTTAGTTCAAGGGCAGTTAGGGACAGGCAACAAATGCTGGCTTTGTTGTACCACCTACATCCCACTGAAAGTAAAAAGTACTGAATGGGCAGAAATTCCTTCCAGTTACATTTTGGGAAGAATGATGTTATTGTCTTCAATCCTTACTCCAAACTCTGTTGCTTAGCTACCAGTTCTATCTAGAACTGAAAAGTCGTTTGCACTCTTGATGCCGTATTTGGCTGTGAGATAAGCAACTGAACTACTGGACCTAGTGAATTCAGTACTGTCCTACCATAGTGACCAGACTAGGAAATCTCCTCTTGACTGTGACCATTGCTGCTTTGAGGAGGGATGCTCAAAATCCCAACTATGACCTCTGTAACTCCATTGACAGTCACGGCCCATAGTGTATGCATGGTGTCCACTTTAGTCTTTGCTGGTGCATAGCAGTCAAACTTATACATATGTAGGCTGACAAGCATGTATACCAGAAAATCAGCAGCTACACAACCAAGTCTGCTGGTTTCCTCGTACAGATGCTGAGGTCAACTGAAATCGCATTGCAGTTGTTTCCACAGTGCTCATTACTAAGCTGAGGGCTTTCCTGACTTGTTGGTTTAATACCACACAGGACAAATCTTATTGAAATAAAAGTTTGGAGTCCAAAACAGACCCACCACATGCTATGTTCCATGCTATAGCAGACTCCTATGTTTTCAGTCGTTGTTTTTGTATTAAAAATAAAGATTCACTATATTTGAATTAGAAAATTTTAGAAAGGTTGTCAGGTGAATTAAAGGAATAAATGAGCGTTGATTCTGCAGATGAAGATAATATAGCAATCTAGAACAAAGAACAGTACAGCACAGGAACAGGTCCTTCAGCTCTCCGAGCCTCCAGCGACACATTTTGCCCTTCCATTACTAAAACTGTCCCTCTATTCTCTTCCTATTCATGTTTTCGTAGAATCATGGAATCCCTGCAGTGTGGAAGCGGGCCCTTCGGCCCAACAAGTCCACACTGCCCCTCCGAAGAGCATCCCACCCAGACCCATTTCCCTAATTTCCCATGTCTATACCACCTAACCTAAACGTCCCTGGACACTGTGGGCAATTTGGCATGACCAGTCCACCTACCCTGCACATCTTTGGATTGTGGGAGGAAACCAGAGACCCGGAGGAAACCCACGCAGACACTGGGAGAATGTTCAAACTCCACACACACAGTCGCCCAAGGCTGGAATCAAACCTGGATCTCTGGCACTGTGAGGCAGCAGTGCTAACCACTGAGCCACCATGCTCGTGCTTCTTGAATCTGTACCCTCCAGAATTTCTCTACTTTGTCTTACTCCATTAAGATTTGCAGTTTAAAAAGTTGTTTTGATTCTTTGACGAAAGTCTTCAACAGAATAACGAGAAATCCTGTATTTTAAGTAGTATTGTTGGAATAAACACCCTAATGTCACTGCAAAAAAATTGTAGTCTCTTGGTATTCTTACAGTACTTGTTTCATTTTTTGATTAAGCCTATTGATACCCCTCTTGATATGTATTCAGCTGTGTGTTACTGGTCCTTAATAACTTAGCTTTTGACATCTTCATTTTAGTTTTCTTTATTTACAAGTGGATTATTTATTTGCTGTATTTCAAATGGCAAGGTTGGAAATGGTCTTTGAGGAGCTGCAGGCATGAGCCTATATTTCATCTTGAATATCTTGGAATTTAATGATAATATTGCACTCTGTTCTTTAAGAAACATTTTGCTATAATAGCTTATTGCTTTCACCATAACGATATAGCCATGTTAAATATTCAAATTTGGCTTTCAGGTGGGGGCTGCACTGAGGCCTGCATTTTCCCCTGACACCCCACCTGATGTTACTGCTAAGGCATGTCAAGTAAGTATTTCACTTTATTTTGCAGAACTAATCTGTCAATGGTATCATTGTCATCTTAAATGCTTTTTTTTTCCCCCCCAGTTTTCAGCAGTTTAGATTTACAACAGAAACATAATATGATCTTCCTGCACTCTTAATATAGTGGAGGAAAAATATGGAATTTAAAGCAACCTGTAATCTATCGCTGTCGAGCGCTCCATAGTTAATACTCCCAATGCCATGGTGTAGGTTTCAGCTGAATAATCTGGGATAATCTGCATCTAGTAAAGGTGATCAGTTTTTCCTGAAAAACTACATTTAAAATGGTTTGAACTTCGTTGGCTACATTGTGTAACATTGGTAACAACAGACCATTTGGTGAAGACAGCTCAGCTTCACACCAGAAGATTCTAGAATTGGTGGTGCTGATTTTTAGGCAGCTGATATATTTGGCTACAGTGTCCCTTTGATTAGGAATCAGTCTGCATTCTCTGCCTGGTTACTGTTCTTTTTCAGGAACAAAAACAGAAGTTGCTGGAAAAGCTCAGCAGGTCTGGCAACATCTGTGAAGAAAAAATCAGACTTAACGTTTCTGGTCTGGTGACTCCTCCTCAGAACAGATTTTCTCTTCACAGATGCTGCCAGACCTGCTGAGCTTTTCCAGCAACT